ATCATTTGCCACAAATACTGGACTCTCTATGGAATGGACAGACATTTAAAGGAAATGTTGAGATCATTGTCTGGAATAACAACTCTTCTCGTAGTCATACTGTGTCTGAAATATGCGACAAATATATGATTCAATCAAATGAACAAAAATCGCTTCAATTAATCAATTCGTCGAAAAACTATTTCTGTGCCGTAAGACTAGCGATGCCTCAACTCATGCAAAGCCAACGCCTATTGATTTGCGACGACGACTGTATACCCGGTCCTGAGTTTATCGACTTCTTTGTCTCCAAACACAACACATATCCGGAAGACGTGCTCTGTTTGANACGACGACTGTATACCCGGTCCTGAGTTTATCGACTTCTTTGTCTCCAAACACAACACATATCCGGAAGACGTGCTCTGTTTGAGAGGACATCAGTTTTTGGAGCACAAACTCAATGAACAAAATCCTTCAAACTTTTGGATAGATTACGAGAATCTGAGGTTTATTTCGGACGAAAGACCGGAACAGTTGTTGCACTTCATTCACGCAGACGTCTGTCTCATCACTAAACAGGCCCTTCAGGAGTGCTCTTCAATACCTGTTCCCGACTCCAGCTATGCATTGGTTGACGACTATTGGATGAGTTATGTCTTGAACCATAAATTCAATCGTAAACTCAGAAAACTGACCACAAGTGGTGTTCCCGAAGATTATATCATCAAAAGGACTGAAGACTCGGATGAGATTGGATTAGCTCTCTATACAAGACCTGAAGTAATCCAAACTAAAGTGAGAGTATATATCCATCATATGCTTCAGGGATGGCCTCATTGGGAGAGTAATAATGAAAACAACATTAAATTGGATGAAAAAGCTATAAAAGTATTGACTGAAAATAAGAAACAATTTTGGGATCAATTGTTTGTTGGATTCAATATTTCATCGGAAATAAGTGCAGAAAGTGTTGAAGTTTTGGCTGAAATGGGAGTGAAATGTGTGAGAATAGGAGCCGTGGGTTTAGGAGATAAAGTCGACTATGAATTCAAGGCATTCCTCAACGATAGGGACGAAGAGATGAAACGATTGAAACAAACGATATCTCTGTTGAAATCGAAAGATATTCGAGTTGTTTTCACTCTTAAGAATGGATTGTCTTCTCCAGAGATTTGGGAATTCATTGCAAAGAACTTGTATTCAGAGAAATATGTGGTCGGATATGATCTCATTAATGAGCCCTTCACTCCATTTGAGAGTCAATACGAGTTTGAAGACAATGATCCGGGTATTTGAATATTGCATAAATGTTTAAAAATATTGATTACTCTATTTTATAAATGATAGGAATGTCTGAACTTATGGTTAATTATACGAAAATAATTCAATCAATTCGTTCGGTCGACAAAATGACACCAATTATAATAGAGTCGAGTTATTGGGCTAATGTCGACACTCTCTCCAACTTATCGATTGACAAACTCATAGAAATGGACGACAATCTTATGGTTTCGTTTCATTTCTATGATCCGCAACTTCTCACTCAAAGGCAACGAAATCAAAACCGTTATTCATTTCCCTCACAAATACCTGACTTTGAAAACATAAAGTGGCCTAAAATGACTACAATTGATGGCAACTTTATTAACGATAAATTCTTGTCTGCCATTCAATGGTCGAAAAAATTTAATGTTAAACTAGTTTTGGGTGAGTTTGGCATCAGTCGAGAGGTGTCGGGCGCTCACAAATACTTGGACTCAATTATGAAGACCTGCAAAACATATGCCATCTCTTCATTCATCTATAGTTTCAGAGATGAAGAATGGGATTCAATGGACTACGAGTTGGGAACTGATGTCTCGACCGGAACTCTCAAACAAGAATTGTCTCGAAATTTATTAATGCAAACTATTATGAAAGGCATTCGAGATAATGTCAACTAAAGTTAAATTGGTTAATTGGATTTATTATTATTAATTTTATATAAAATCAAACATGATATTAATGTTATATATTTTTTATGTTTTTAATATTTTTTATTAAATTTTAAATTCTATAGATTTTAGTTTATTGATTGATAACAATTTTATTTTTCTATCAAAATTAAATAATTATAGTAGAAATGGTAAGTTAATCTAAATTAAAAATATTAATATTGTGTTTTAGGATTTATAAAATAAAAATAAATTTATATTTATTAAATTATTTTAATGTTAGTTAGACTTACTTGTTAGTGAAATAGTTTTCGTAATATATTGTAATGTAAAATAATAAATTTTAATATAATGTATTTATAAAAATTAAAAATTATTTTTATTAAATTTATCAAATTATATAACATTACAGATACTTGTTAATTGTTTAATAATAATGTGACATGAATTATAGTTAAATTAATGTGAACAACAGGCACAATAACCGCCCACAACACAGCACTGGGGGTACCCGTCATCACAACAGTAGATCATAGAGCAGGGACTCGAACACACCCAACAGTCGTTACCATTTGCGCCATAACTGCTCACATTTAAGCCTAAATTATAATTATATATAATTAAATTATTCTTATTAATTAAATTATAAAATAATACAAACCCTGTTTAAAGTCTTTATCAAACGCTGCTTTGAAGTCTTGTGTAACTTTGGGAACAGTCTTTGAGAAATGTTGATTTACATTTGCCATTTCACCTATAATTTAATTTTATTTATTAAAAATTATATGTTTTCATGTCATTTATATAAGTTTTAATAAATTATACCAATAGTGAAGACAACGAAAAGTAAAGTCAAAACAGCAATCATTGAACGCATATTTGGTGAGAATCAAAAGTTTAGTAGATTTTAACTTAAGAGTTATATTAATTACAAAACCTTTGTTTGATATAAATTTGTGGATATTTTGTGTCTCTTATATACTCATCAAATAATCTGTTGTTATTGTTATTCAAATATTTGTTTTTAAAAACAAATAACTTATATTCATATAATATATTTTATCACTTATTCTTTGTTTTATTCTAAGGAATCTTTAATATATTACATATAATACACGCGAATAAAACGGTTTATCAGTTAACTATAACAGCAACAGGAAATATCTTATATATTATGTAATATTTATTGCACTTCTCATACATTTATTATTGTTATAATTTATCAAATGCGTCAAAACAGATTTTGCAATTATTAGTATTTTTTATGAGATTTTATCAGAATTACAAATGTATTTGAAATAATTGTATTTTTCAATAACTTATTTATTACTAATTAATAAATTAATATTTCACCTGAATAATTTATAAACGAATTAAATGAATTAACTACACTTAATAAATTAAATTTATTCTTTTGAATTTTGACCAATAATGTCATATAAATTTAACTTCTTTGCTTTAGGTCAACTCACTTTTACTGCCCAAATAGCTTAATAAATTCTTAATAAATTTAATCAAAACATCGAATAATTAAAGTTAATAAAACAATGGTTGAATAAAAATACATTGTTTTTATTAAAACTAAGAAATCGTAATAAAATATTTATTTTAAAATAAACTTTGTTTGAAAATTGTTTAAATTTTAAAAAGTATTTTAACGATCACAGTTGATCTAAATATTATTATGTAATATATTGAAAAATGTAATGCAAAATCTATGTTATATAAATTATTTAGAAATGAAAATAAGTATACATTTATTTTATTTTATTTTAATATTTAAAATTGAAATAATAATTTAATGTATAATATTTCGGTAAGCTGTTTTCGTAATATATTGCAATGTATAACAAAAATACAATGAATTTTTTTAATTAATAATTATTTTTATTGAATTTATAAAATTATAACACAATACAAATTGTTAACTGTTTAATAATAAAATGGCATGAATTACATTTAGATTAATGCGAACAACAGGCACAATAACCGCCGACAATACAGCACTGGGGGTACCCGTCATTACAACAGTATATCATAGAGCAGGGACTCGAACACACCCAACAGTCCTTATTAGTATTCACACCATAAGTGCTCACATTTAAGCCTTTAATTTAATTATATACGAAATTAGATTATGTTTATTAATTTAATAATAAAACAATACAAACCCTGTTTAAAGTCTTTATCAAACGCTGCTTTGAAGTCTTGTGTAACTTTGGGAATAGTCTTTGAGAATTGTTGATTTACATTTGCCATTTCACCTAATATTCATTATAAAGTACCAATATAGAAATAATTAATTTTATATATTTTACATATTTTTAAAATTCATACCAATAGTGAAGACAACGAATAGTAGAGTCAAAACAGCAATCATTGAACGCATGTTTGGAGAGAATTGAAAGTTTGGTAGTTTTTAACTCAAATTATATTATTTGCAAATATTTTGTTGTTTAATGATTATTCAAAATTCTGAATCTCTTATATACCATAAAAAAGTATGACAATTGTTTGTCAAGTAATTGTTTATTTTTGATAAAAATAAATTTACTGGAAAATTTTTATTAAACAAAACAATAGTAGATATGAAAATTGCTTAAGGTGTTGGCAAAAACACTATGTAATCAATTTCATTCTTGGTTTTTATCATACACACCGGCCGTTAATTTGTTGCGTTTCGTACGGCCAGTATTGGACTGGACGGGGATCGCAAATATGGGGAACCGGTCGCTAGTTATACCCCAGACCTTAGGGTCATATAACTACACATTTAGCCGATGATAACACCATTTATTATGTATGAATGTATTGTGTGAATGAGTGAAGACTTACGGGTTTGAAGTCTAGCACAACATTAAGGGATACAGTTATGGGTTTGGGATTTATATACGTTGTGTACATATAGTGATTGAATATACAGTAGTTTAGATATGCATAAGAAGTTACATAAGAATTGTATGACATGTATATTGGGTGACAAACTTAGAAATGTCAGGGAATAGGAGCCGATGTAGGTGTTTGTTTGTAAGGACTGGTAGTAACCGGTGATGACAGGTAATGACAACTCAGGTATCTGTCGTTTATGTCAAAACAGGGGTTACCATAAAAGGGGGTATTATTTAAACCGTTATAAATTAATATGCTATCAATGTTTTGCATTTATTATTT